CATCCCACCTGGCGAACTCATATTTTGCAGACGGGTAGGTATACCACCAACCAGATTTCTGCTCAGCCAACATTTTTCAAAACATGTTCTTCAAATATTTGAGCACAAAGGGAAACAGTAGACACAATATGGTACCCCCATTTCGGACACACCCAAATCCCGTATGGTTGGTTCAATATCTCATTGTATATCCCAGCCATAGAATAGAATCCCCGGTGTATCATCATTTTTCCCAATGTAAATTACATGACATCTGAATTCGCGTGTAAGGCCATATTCCAATAAAATCCCATGTAGATTCTCAAATAATTTCCCATACAATTTCCCATTAAATCCCGTATAACCCCACATAATTCCAAATCATCCGGTAATAATCCCACATAAATGCCCAAATAAATGCCCACGTAAATGCCAACTAGATCCATAAAAAATCCAGGGAAATGTCCATAAAACACCATGTAATTCATATAACTTCCCATGAAATTCCAATTCAATCCAATTCAATCTCATATAACCCCATATCATTGAATTGGATTAGAATTGCATAGAAATTTATATGGATTATATGGGGTTTAATGGGAATTTCCATATAATCCCAACTTTTCCATATCATTTCCCACGAAAAAGGCCATATAAATTTCATCACAAATGTTCCATATCCATTTTCCATATGAATTCCATATATTTTCATATCATTTTTCATAAATTATAATAATTCACTAACCTGAAATAAGGCTGTCTTGGGGATGATTTCCCTAAAATAGACCATGATTCCAGGGTTCGGGAGAACAGTGAGGTCGTTATAATTTACCCAGATATAATCCATATAATCATTATATGGATTATATGGAATTAATATATATATATATATATATTATTCATTTCATTTTCCGTATGGAAATCAGTTTAAAATATATGTTCCATTTATCCATATATCAGTATGGCAAATCATGGTTAATTATCATGCTTACTGGTGAATATACAATGGCTCATATGATTCTTAATTTCCATATCATTTTCCAATATGTTCCATATGTATATTTCCCATTTTTTTCAATGGATTGGTTTAAGGGAAAATTTACAGGAAAACCCCATATATAATGGGAACATCTATGGTTTCCTGTAGATTTTCCCTTAAACCAATCCATTGAATTTTCCATTGACTATATGGAATTATAATATATATATGATTCATATCATGTTCCATATGGATATCATTTTCCAATATGTTCCATATATTTTCCCATATATTTTCCCATATATTTTCCATTTATCCATAATTCATGTAATTTCCCTCTTGCGCAAGGCCATATCCTCGGAGCTCCTTTCCTTGGCACGCCATCTGCAGCCATCTGCAGCAAACGGCGCGCGTGTAGCGCTGCGTGGGGAACTGCTACGAAGCGCGTTGAACGCCATGGGATGTGACTTTTCGATGCCGGGACGGTGGTTGACCTACCCGAGATTTTTCTTGCGTTGCGAAGTGGAGATACCATTGATGGGTAATATACTGTTGATAATGGTTAATATGGGTATGGATCTAATACCTATTAATACCATTTTAGGGGAATGAACATCCATTTACCAGCTATTTTGATGTTCACCAGGGGTACAAGGTTTTGACACACTGCCATATGGTTATTATATGGTTAATGATGGTTAATAATAATTTTAACCCATATCCCATATGCTCCATGGTGCTGGTATATTTACCTGCAAAACTGGGTGATTTTGTTCGGGCAAATGTTGGTAAATATTCCATACATGGAGCATCTGGGTATTAGTGAACTATTATGATTTACCATATTTTGATATGTTTAATATAGGTCAATCAACTATCGGATTTTGATGGAGTTTAAGGGAAAATTTTGACTGGAAACCACGGTTTTGTACCATCAAATAGAAGGGTTTGCTGTAAACTTGATTATGGGATTTTTAATTCCTGTAATTCAGGTTATATTTTATCACTTGAATGTGGTAAGCCAGCTACATATGTTGATAGCCATGAGTGTGCCACGCACACGATTGTTGGTTATATGATTTATATGTGCCTATATGTGTATATATATATCTCATTGTATCCACATTCAAGTATCTCATTCAATATGACAAACCACCATATGGATTGTCGTGATTTGGATTAATGGATTATTGGTTTTGTACGTTGGATAAATGTATATTCAAGTTGGATATTAATAAACCAACCTGCGGATAATTGTCAAATTCATATTCATTCATATCATTACATCACCATCACATAATAATAACCATCAAATAGGAACCATCATATAATACCATTAATGCGAGTACCCCTCAATCCAAATGTGCCATGGTCAAGCTAGCTGGATGGTTGATGGAGATGACAAAGTTTGGGCATACTACATGGGAAAAAAAGGTTCAAAGATGGATTCTATACCCATAGAAGCTGGTGCCCAAGTTATGTTTGTTGGTTTCTAACCACCATTACTCATCATTCACTATAGATATATGTGTCATAAACCCTAGTTGTTGGAGTTCCAAAACCCATGAACTGGGAAACCCCTATATATAATCAGTTTTTGCAGCTGGTTAATGAGATAATACACCTATTGTCATCACCAAAAAAATACATAATTTGTGTAAGACGAAACATTTGGTGGTACAAACCATTCCCAAATGGGTGTTTTATTATTGTTGTATCCACATTAATATTTTAAGACCAACCACTCATAATTTTGAAACCACCATTGGTGTTTCTAACCACCATTAATAATTATTCACCATAGATATATGTGTCATAAACCTTAGTTGTTGGAGTTCTATATGATCCATATTATAATTCTGGGTAAATTATAACGACCTCACTGCGACCTCACTGGAATCATGGTTAATAAAGGAAATCATCCCAAATGGCCTTAATTCAGGTTAGTGAAATATTATAATTTACCCAAAATTATGATCAATCTGAGCATTCGGAACCGCACTAGCCGGTGAACCGCGGTTCTGCGAGGTGATTTATGGAGCTTGGAAAATCATGGCTGTTTGGCAGCCCTTCATTTGCCCTACACATCTCAGGTTGCGCACCTTCGGTCTGTCAGGGTCTGTTGGAAGATTTTTTAGTCGGGAAAAGTCGGATGTGGCTGTTCTTGAAGATTGTAGGGAAAAGTCATGTGGCTGTTTTCTTTATTTACCCTATCTAAAGTTTTTATAACCCCACAAAACCTAGGGTTTATGCTAGATATATCTATAGTTAATGGGTTTATTAACCAACACACATAACTGATACCCTTTGGTAAACTGACATAAAACTTTTGAATGTTCACCATGTTTAATAATTAAATCAATTATAATTTACCTTTTTCAATACCTATGGAACAAATTACCAGAGGGGTACCCAGCTTTTTTCCTGTTGTATCTGGGGTTTTAATAAAGAGCAACCCTGTTCCGATCGTGAGCTTTCGGATCTACGGTGAAAATTGCCCCTGTTTGATGTCTTCAATCATTTTGCTTTTGGTGGGTTTAATCCCCGCATTTTGTATGTTGTTAAAGCATATGAAATCAATTGAAATCGTTTTTTTTTTCTGAGGGTCCATTGATTCACAGTGTTTTCTGTGATGATTTCCATGTCTTTCCAACGTTGCATGTTATGTTCCAAATTTTCAGTTTCCATCAGGAGGTCTCTGTCGCCAAAGATGACGATGAGAGATACCTCCGCCAACTCTGTATCATGGCAATGTCCTGGCGACTGGTTGGATTTGTCCGATGAGACGGGCAGGGGGTAAAACGGAAACCAAAAAGATGTGGGAACCGTTGGTTTCGACAGGAACATGATTTACAGGGTAAACTCCACTCTGTCAAAATACCTGAAACTATGCTGAAACGTGGGCCAGAAACCGGAAATGAGGCACATATAGGGTCAAAAACCGTCCTTGGTGTTGAATAGACAAATTTGCGATGTACCCATTGCTGGAGTATTTGATGTTGACCCAGAACCTACTGATGTTTGGTTGATGGTTTGGAACATTTTTTATTTCTCCATATATTGATATATTGGGAATTTCATCATCCCAACTGACGAACTCCATCATTTTTCAGAGGGGTAGGTTCAACCACCAACCAGATTCTGATGAACTCATGGATCTCACGGGAACTCAACGATATGTCTTCCTTTCTACCAGGTAAATTTGAATCAACATTTTCATCCCATCCCTATTCTTAATGTTTTAGAACTATCGACCCCCAAAACGTAATTAATTGTGGCGGCCCCAAAAGAGATAGAAACGTAATGAATTCATCAGCGTTTAAGTCCCCGAAATTAGGAATTCATTACTCTAGCTTTTTGCGGGGTATCACAGGTTGACCTGATTGTTCTCCTGCACATGACGTTTGATGTCGACTCGACGTTGGATACTCGTGAGACGTGAGCCAACTTGAAAATATTGAGGTGGGTAAACTAGTCGACCGACTGTTCCTGACACGCACGCTTGGGAATGTCGTTTTGCTCAAGCATTTGCCTCGGCGGCATATCAATCAAATATAGGCTTATCAGTTATCAACGAGCAGGTCGGCGTGGGGTTTGTGCTCTCTCAACCCCAGTGAAGCCAGGTTTTTAAGTGGATTCCTCTTAGCTATTCTGACTGCAAAATGGTCTTGAACCAACCTCCGGCCAACCCTATGATGGATTCTTCGATTCTGCTTCCTCGACATGTCTGATTTCAAACATGTTTTTCCATGTTTTTCCCATCCGAGCTTCTTGGATTGGTTTGTGGTTCTGTTCCAATTACTTTGACCAAGGGGATGATGATACTGTACCATATACCCATTGATTTTTTATATTGATGTTTCAGAAATTGGATTGGTTTCAGGGAAAATCTACAGGAATCCCTAGATTTTTTCACTAAATATGGGGGGTTTCCTGTAAATGTTCCCAACAAAATCAATCCAATGAATGCCCGGAAGCCCGTCTCAAACCTCACCAACCCGACAAGCCACTTCCCGACAAGCCACCAGCCACCAGCCACGTCATGGCCACATGGGCGACCGCGGCGACCGCCACAAGCATTCTCTTGGTGGGACGTCCCGGCAATGAATTTCCTTGCCATGAATGGTGGATGTTGATGGTGACAAGTCTCAGTTTGTTCATGTTTTTTTTCTTAAGTGCTGTCCCTCCTGATTGGGGATGATGATGATGATGATGAGGATGAGGATGAGGATGATGATGATGATGATGGTGATGATGATGATGATGATTATGATTATGATGATGATGATGACGATGACGATGGCGGAGGTCTTTTTCTTTAACAAGGATACCCAGAAAATCTCATGTTCATGGCAAAAAAAACATGGTTTTACCAATCAAATACGAAAATAGAGTACCCATATGTTGGTTGGAATCCCACCCAGATGGTGGATCCTTTGTCGCAGGTCCGCCATGCTGCCGCCTATGGCGCTGCGGATTCCATGTGGTCGGCGAAGCAATGCCCTGTGACTCGGACGTTTTTTTTCTCGAAGTTTTCGGACCATCCCCATGACTCGGGCGGAAGAAAACATCATGAAAACATCATATAATGATATAATAGCGGTAATAGCCATCATATCATGAAACATCATAAATCATGTCATTTACTATATGTTAGTTTTTCATCTTTGCATCCATCATATAAGTAAACTAACATAGCCAATTTTCAAAGGATTATCAGATTATCATATAATTTCAATTTTCAAAGTAATGTATATACATTTCAATTGAAAAGGATGATGAAAAGGATGGTATGATCATAGCATCAAAAATGATGGATGCTATTCATCAAAAATACGGATGATCATAGCATCCATCATACCATCCATTTTCGGCGAATCCCTCCACGGTGGATGTTGAAGGAAAAGTTGGGTGAAGATTTGGGTTCCGAAAAGTTGGGTAATTAGTATTTGTAGCCATGAAAAGATATGAAAATTGGTGTATATTACCTTGGCGGGTTGGTGGTTTGTTTGGAACATAACTGGATTATGTTTGCAAATATTGGGAATATTCATCGGAAGTGACTAATATTTTTCAGAGGGGTAGGTATACCACCAACCAGCCAGGGTTGCTCCCAACAACACAAAGGTGGAAAGTAGGGTGAATAAAGATGCACAATCACCACAATCACCAATGCTCCGCCCCTGTGTGGCTATCATTGATCTATCGGCTGGAGCAACCCAGTTACCCAATAAGGTGGTTACCCTCTGGTAAACTGTCCCATAACTATGGAAAATCGCCATTTTCAATGGGTAAATCCACTATAAATGGCCGTTTTCAATAGCTATGTTAGTTTACCAGAGGGTACTTCAATCTGTGTCGTATGGTGAGATCAGTCAAGATTTTGCACACCTTCTGATCACTCCAGCATAAATGGTAGTGATGTTCGGTCCCCGTCAACCAGTGGTTTCATAGGTATACAACCCTATCCATACATTTCTATGGGTGCTTTGAGATCTGTGATCAAATTATCTTAATTGGACTAGACTGCCAAACATGTCCAAAAATTATTTGTTATTGTTGTTATATCTATATCAAACATTAGTCTTATTTTTACTATTTTTTACTGGACCATATTATATCCCCATGTTTCATGTTCATACCGGAGATATTCCCATCTTTGCAGCTGGTAAGATTGGCCACAAATATGGCTCTTAATCAGCAACATTTCACAAACATGTATACACTAAAGATATACATTATATCCATTTGATAAACATACAATATCCATATTATATAGACATACTATATATATTTGGTTGGTGGTTTGGAACATTTTTATTTTCCCCAATAGTTGGGATGATGATCCAATCTGACTAATACTTTTCAGAGGGGTTGAAACCACCAACCAGATATATATATATATATATATAGAGTACATACTGATCATCATTGACATCGCACTCCTTTTTTTTTGAGGGATTCCACTTGGCATTCAGGAGCTCTACGACAGCAATGGCATTTGGAAGGGCTCCTTGTTGGTAGATGGGAGCCTTGGCTTCTAATGTTGGAGTGAAGGTGGGTAATAATTATGTGAAACAATTGAAATAAGTTGTCAAATAATGTCAAACACAGATTTTATATGATTTTATGAGGAAAATATGGTAAGGGTCTAGGTCGTGATTCGGATAAGGACACTTAAAATTTGGCTCAAAGAGCATCGGGTTTTGAGCCGGGCCTGACCAGGAAAGCAACACATGGAAATTCTGACAAGGAATGACAAGGGACTTGCCAACATCACTGTGTTCGTGCAATACATGCATCTGGATAGATTGTAACGACCTGTTCTCCCTCACTGGAATGGTGATTAGTAGGGGGATCCCAAAATAGCTCAACGAACCCAGATGGATGGTTCATCTCATGCGTCATCGATGGGTCGTGCGTTTTGCAGGAAACTACTGGACTTACCATCTGGTTATTTAACATAGCCATGGAAAGATCCACCATTTTTAATAGGCAAACCATCGAGCTAAATGGGCCATCTATACCATGGCGAACTTTCAAATAACCAGAGGGTAATCGCCAGGATTTTTTGGATCATTTTTCAGACAACATCTTCGTTGATTTGACGCCTGCGTTTGAGAGAAGTGCATCTCCGGCTACATCCACCGGGGTAAATTATAACGACCTCACTGTTCTCCCTCACTGGAATCATGGTTTATTTTAGGGAAATCATCCCCAAATGGCCCAACAATTCAGGTTAGTGAAATATTATAATTTACCCGGATCCACGCCTCCTGCACAGAGAAAAATGAAAAGATTGCCCACATCAAAGTGGATAAAGACATACAGGGCCGATGTGCAGATGCGATGGGAACGCTGATGGTGAACATCGGGCTATGTTTCGTGGGGTCCATCGATCATAGCTTGCTCAATAGCACCATTCCAACCCTGTAGTTGGCGAAAACTCGGCGAAAACTCGGCGAAAACTCTATAATTTCAAATCAGTTCCAGTGATTGAACCATGAACAGCACCTTTTCCTTACTTGGTGGCGAACTACCCACGGCGCTAGTAAGTGGGTTATAACCCCAGCGATTTACATGGGATAAGGAGCGGGTTAATCCACAAAAAAACTGGGGTGAACTAACCCACTTACGAGCCGTGGGTAGTTCGCCACCAAGTATTCCATTTATCAATATTTATCTGGTTGGTGGTTTGGAACATGGCTTTTATTTTCCATTTCATAGATGTCATCCGAAACCCATTGACGAACTCCATCATTTTTCAAGATGGTTTTTTAACCACCAACCAGTTATCACTTGAGTATCTAATCCCAACACAGCACATTGCAATGACAGAGCTTTGGGCCGCCTGGATTTGCCATGGCAAAATCTGAGGCAATTTTTCACTAACAAAATCGCCTGGTTGATTGGTGAGTTTCTGTTGGGACTTGGATACTTGGGATAGGGATATGTTTAATGGATTTTAATGGCAAAAAGAACTCCGTTGATATTTTACCATGTTTGCGTTTGAATACTCACTTGTCTTTAGGTCTTTGGAATTCTTTGGACGCATTCAGGGCCCCAATAGATGTACATATCTTTGCCTTGCCTATAAAAAAATAAACTTAAGACAAACTCTATCCGTAGTTCTTCAAAGTGACCTCTTCAATCACCAATTCGAGGTCACTTAGCCCCAAAAACGGGTCGATTAAGCACCTCAAAAGTGTCACTTTGGAGAACCTGGTATACATTGGAGGCATTCAGGGTAGCAATAGATTCCTAATAGATGATACATGATGATGCTTGCATATGACATATATGATCATATATTTAAGATTGTTTAAGATCTTTTATATTTACGATTTACGTATATTGTTTGCATAAATGAAGCGTTTACAAAAACTCTATCCAGGATACATTCAACTATCATTTTTCACCCACATAACCCCTGTGGCACCGCAGCCCAGGAATTACACGCTGTACTGCGCGCCTGGTTTTGAAGTGTCCGGACGGGGCGGAGGCGGCGAATTCCGACCTCAAAAGCTGGTTGTATAGGAATTGAGGTTCGATGATCATACATATATATATATATACAGTGTTATATGATATATATATATATATTATTAGTATTATTATAATTATTTTATTATCATTATTTATTATTACTATTATTATATATATATATGTAAAATTATGTATACATACATACATTACATTACATTGCCTTGCATTACATTACATTACATTGCATTGCATTGCATTACATTACATTACATTCATACATACATAATCATACATACATAATCATACATGCATGCATGCATGCATGCATGCATCCATCCATCCATCCATACACACACATACATACATACATACATAATCATACATACATACATAATCATACATACATACATAATCATACATACATACATAATCATACATACATACATACATAATCATACATACATACATAATCATACATACATACATAATCATACATACATACATACATAATCATACATACATACATACATACATACATACATACAAGCATACATACATACATACATTACATTACATTACAGTACAGTACATTACATTACATTACATACATACATAGAGACAGACAGACATACCTACATACACACATGCACACATCCACACATACACACATACACACATACACACATACACACATACACACATACACACATACACACATACATACCTACTTACATACCTACATACCTACATACACACATACACACATACCTACATACACACATACCTACATACACACGTACCTACATACCTACATACCTACATACCTACATACCTACATACCTACATACCTACATACCTACATACCTACATACCTACATACCTACATACCTACATACCCACATACATACATACATACATACATACATGCATACATACATACATACATATACACACACAGGCATACATACATATACACACAGACCTACATACATATACACACACATACATACATACATACATACACAGACATACATACATGCATACATACCTACATACATACATACATACATACATAATCATACATACATAATCATACATGATCATACATACATACATACATACATACATACATACATACATACATACATACATACATACACACATACACACATACACACATACACACATACATACCTACTTACCTACTTACATACCTACATACCTACATACCTACATACACACATACCTACATACACACATACCTACATACACACATACCTACATACCTACATACCTACATACTTACATACCTACATACCTACATACCTACATACCTACATACCTACATACCTACATACCTACATACCTACATACCTACATACCTACATACCTACATACCTACATACCTACATACCTACATACCTACATTACATTACATTACATTTCATTACATTACATTACATACATACATATACACACACAGACATACATACATATACACGCACAGACATACATACATATACACACATACATACATACATACAGACACATACATACATACATACATACACAGACATACATACATACATGCATACATACATACATACATACATAATCATACATACATAATCATACATACATACATACATACATACATACATGCAGGCATACATACATACATACATACCTCTATATATACTTACATACATACATACATACATACATAGATACATACACACATACACACATACACACATACATGTATACATACATGTAGATGTTAGATAAACGTACGCGTCATACATTACATACATACCTATATTACAGTACATTGCCTTACATTTCATTACATTAGATTACATTACATTACATTAGATTACATTACATCACACTAAACTACATTACATTACAAACATACATGTGTATATTTATATATATATACATGTTTTATGTGGGGTATATTACGTTTGTATTAAGTTTTATATGTTTATATACATGTTGATATTCAAATATAATCCTAATATATGGCCTAAGGGATAATCCTATGGGGTAATACATATTGGTTAATGATTACCCTCCGGTAAACTGTCCCATAACTATGGAAAATCATCATTTTTACTAGGTAAATCAACTATAAATGGTCCATTTTCAATGGCTATGGAACACATTACCAGAGGGTAAATATCAAGGGCATATGGGGTTAATGCGTTGCAAGACTCTCCAATTCTTGTTGGATTATCATGATCCATTATTGGGAAATCCTATTAACCAGCCCAATTGAACGCGGAAAATGATTTATACATGTATGTATATGTAAATATGGGCTCCATTTGATTTTTGTTGGGTAGGTTTGTTTGATGATGTAATGAATAAAGTATGATTTGTTTGCCAGCTTCATGGCTTGCTTGCCAGCACGATCAGCAACAAAACATAGCTTGGTCTGCTTATGAAATCTTCTCCCCGAAAGTAACATAGACTCCTGTCACATAGATATATGTTTTATGATTTATATATATATGGTATTTTATGATATGTATATATATATATGTACATACATACATGTATATGTCAGGTAAAGGTACATGTCATACACACATAGAGGGAAGATTAGTGTACTTTCCACCAAGAACTGTTTCCGGTTTCCGGGAGTTGAGGACACTGGAGGGTAACATCGATCAGCGGGGATGATATGTGGCTTCAGACGGTTGTTCCTGTTGTGGAAGCCTTAACATCCCTTATGTCTCAAGCAGAAATATGAGAATTGATCCCAAAAATTATCCCACTCATCACACTAATAATCCCAATATCAACACTTCCAGATAATTACCCTCTGGTAATTTGTTCCATAGCTATTGAACATGGCCTTTTTGAAATAGTTGATTTTCCATTATATAATAGCATGGGGATTTTCCATAGCTTTTTGTATGTTTACCAGAGGATAATCCCAATGAATTTCTGGATTTTCCATCTGAGTGTTTGGTGAACTTGCCTGTGGCAGGCAGAAGTCGATCAATGACCTGCCCAGAGAGCCTCATTTGGCCCTTTGAGCCTTGGGCTC